AAAAAAAAAAAAAAAAAAAAAAATTTGGGCGCCGGGGCTTAATGCCGTAGGCAGTAGTGCAGCTCGCTTGCCGAAAGTCGAAAATTTCACTCGGCCAGGTGGACGTCCCATTTCTCTGCAGATCGGATACTCACTTCGATGGCAGAACATTATTGGCAGTTGCAAAGATTTAAGACGGCCATCAACTTGCTTCTTAGCAGCCGGAGAAGAAGAAACAAGCCTTTTTCTTTGGAATAAGTCTTTTTTTTTCATAATTTTGAAAGACAAGCCTGGTAATATGCATTCAAAAGACGAAGTGCTTAAACCGTTTAAAGAGAATGCTGGAAAATGCGAGAAAATATATGAAAAACTTGTAATAAAGCAAAACTTTGTTCTGGGATTTTATAGCAAATAAAAAGAAAATAAAAATGTGCATAAATGTTTCAACTCATAAAGGTGTGTGCGTGCATTTTTAGCACCACAACTGGGCCTCGCTACTACAAAGAAATTGTAGTATATTTAGCACAGAAGCACCAATTCGCCTTGATTATCTGGCAAATATGGAAGGAATAAAACCAGCGGGAATAATACCGATAATGACTGGTTATCTGGTGGTTACCGCAATTGGTTGGTTCGGAAATGGCTGCATTATTGTAGCCACTATTGTAAGCAGGTTAGTGCAGCGGCTTCTTCTTTTCTCTTCAACAACAAAGTTCATAACTTAGTTGTAAAATCCGCAGTTTGTTCTCAGCAGCATATCTGGTAATTTTTCTGTTTGTTTTGACCAAGACTTATCTTCTGATAGTCGCACTGATGGCGACTTCGACGTTCGTTTTCTTCGTGAAGAAAATATTAGTTGATCTGCTTTTACACCAAACCATACTTAAATTTTTTTATGTAAGTTAGTTTAAAAAGTGATGTTTTTATGTAAGTTAGTTTAAGAAGTTCCCACCAGTAAAATCGACCCTTTGTCTTAACCCAAGGAAATAGCGCCCTATCCCCCGACTTCAAACAGTTTTAATTCTATTAATAGTGCTTTTTTAACACCACTATCCTTGTATTTCTTTTTTCATTAAAACTGGACCTGACCAATACGACGGCTGTGGTATATTGTGCTGCTCCCCTTGATTTTCTGGCAAACACGAAAGGAACATTACTCTTTATCTTTCGATATTTCCCTTGCACTGTAGCTGCACGGACACGCGAATTTAAGGGTGTCCTGGGCCTCTAGTCATCTCGGATATAGTTTTATTAATTTGATAATAAAGCTTAGGTGCTTTATTATCAAATTAATAAAAGCGTGTCTTCACCAACCGATAAGGAGACCGTGGTACCACAGACCACTATGTTGTCTCACCGCTCTTGAATCATTTTTGCAGGAGACTTCACGGCCCATGCAACGTGCTTATTGCGGTTGAAGCATTCTGTGAAATCTTGCACCAGTCAGCACATGTAATCATGGCTTACTTCATGTTCACAGAACAATATCTCATACCGGCCGAGCGCTGCTTTCATTTTCAACTGATTCCAAGTTTCGGCATGAATGTTGGCACTTTCCTGAATCTTTCAATTGGCATTGATCGGATATTTTCAATAATATTCCCTTTTTTGTAAGTCCTTTTTGTATTTTGGCTCACACAGATTTTTTTGGAAGAGTAATCCAGAACTGGACAGATGCAAAGCTCCTTTGTTCATAGATAGCTAAACCGGCCTGATTGGAATTATCTAAGATAAAAACAGCCTAATTAAGAGAGAAAGAGGAGTACTGTTGAAAGTCAGCGAAAAGTTGGAAAGAAGTCGACAAAAAAAAATATATTTTACCATGGGAAGACAGATAAGAAAGGAATGAGAAAGGAACCTTTAAAAAAAAGTACGCAGTAGAAGTGCTCTTAGCTTGATCCCATTCATCCTGAGATGTAAAGTTGCAGAACAGTGATTTAGCATGTTGCATCGGACATGAAGAGAGATGGTTCGATTCCCTTTTGATTCAAATGCTTTTATTTTACTTCACGACAGCGAGTAGT